GGTTATAGCAGTAGAGCCTGAAATTGCAGAAACTGAGAACCTGGAGGTATGTATAGACATGGAAAGCTTTCAAAAAGAGTTCGAGGTAGAACGAGAAGAAGAGACGCCACAATGGGAACCTTGGAATGAAGAAGAACCATCTCAAAGGGGTTCAAACGAAGAGGGCCAGGAAAACAGGCTTGGAAGAAAGATTGCGGTAAGCAGGCGGTCAAACTGGGGTATGAAGTACAGCGTGGTAGATATTCTCAAGGATCAGGAAGTCTTGAACTTCTTTCTGCAGAATGGCAGTTTGCCAGAAGAAGCTCACAAAAGAAGAAGGGTCAGAGACAGAGCGAAAATGTACATGTGGGATGGGCAGTCGGTCAGAATGAGACCCAACGCCAAGTATCCAAGTGGTAGGATTGTTCCAGCTTACGAACGAAGAAAGGGATTGCTGGACTGGGGGCATAAGAGCACGAATCACATGGGAGCTTTAAAGCTGCAACAACTTATTCAAAAGAGTAACTGGTGGCAGGGACTGAGGCGAGATTGTCAGAAAGTGTGCCATGAGTGTCCAGAATGTAAGCTGGCTGTGACGAACTTTTTCAAGGAACCTAAGACGGAATTGGAACCAGTGAAAGTCGAAAAGGGATTAGACAGATCCTGAGCAACAGACCTAACTTTTGGGTTCCCTAAGACAGCAAGGGGTAACCACGGGTTCATAGTGGCAATAGAAAGGCTGTCCAGATGGATCGAAGTTGAGCCGGTCTCAGATAAATCACCATCTACTGTGGCAAGGTTCATACTGAAGGAGATAATAGCAAGGCACGGAGTTCCAAAAGTTATCTGCAGTGATCAAGGCAGGGAGTTCTTCACAGATGTTCAGGATTTGTTGAAGCGATACGGGATTGAGCACATAACAACCAGTGCTTTTCATCCTCAAGGAAACGGGTTAGCAGAAAGCTCTGTGAAGACTATGATAAACGGAATCAGGAAAAGGGCAGCAACAAGGCCAGATAGTTGGGACGATGAGGTGCCGTCAGTAGTGTTTGGGTATCGAGTTAGTATCCAGTCGAGTGTGGGGTATACTCCGTTTGAGCTTCTGTATGGTAGGGAGCCTGCGCTTCCTGAATCCTGTGGGAACTACGAATCAGATTCTCAGTGGTGGGGTTCTTGTACCGTACTACATTCACGGTGGGGTTCTTGTAAAGCGCGGTACAGTTTGCCCGGGGGACACCGGATCTGGGGCTGATCATCGGGCGGTGCCACGTATTTTGTACGGAAGTCTGCGGACCAATGAGAGAGGGGACTTGGTACCATCACGTGGTCTGCTGATCAGATCTGCGGTACCGCCGGTCCGCAGATTGAAGCTGGCGGTACCCCGCAGCCACGGTACCTTCCGATAGGCTGCGGTACTACTTTTTAGTACCTCGGTAGGCTACAATTTTGAGTGAATGCTCTAGTAAAAATACTACCGGGAAGCCCAGCGCGGTAGGTACCTGGTTGGCTCTTGGGTAGAACCTACCTATGTAGCCTACTACCTAGCTAGGCTGCGGCACTTGATCTACCTAGGCTAGGCTACCCTGGGCTCAACTATCGGGGGTAGCCTACCCCGGGCAGTCATACAAGCCTATGGTCACGGCGATGTGCGGCCGGTAGGTTCTTTGCCCCGGGCCTAAGAGCCTAGCCTACCTATCCTAGCTTACTGTTCACTGTCAGTGGTTTTGAAGGTACGGCTCGACGGTGACTCCAACTTTGAATTTCGCGACCCGTTGAAACTTACCGGGCGGTCGATCAGACCTAAGATTATAGTAAGCTAGACCCCGGTGCGGCGGCGATTGAGTGCAGATCGAGTACCTCAGGATTTAACACAACGAGTCAAAATTGAGTGGCTCTGACGCTCTTCAGAAACTCCGGCGTTAAAAATAAAAAGTTGAAATGCCGACAGGCTGTACTTATGGTCTGATTTGCAGCTTCAGACCCAGTGTACCGGTCGGCACCGGTCCTACGCGGTACCCTCCAGAAGTTCCGAATATGTCGGGAGCTAGACTCCACGTGGTCTGGACGTGGGACTCATCGGACGGTGCAGGCTGCGGCCGCCGGCCGCTCGGATCCAGAAAAATGGCCAAGTTCAACCGCGCTTTTTCACACTGAACTTGGCCGTGAATGTACGGTGTCTGCTTCCAGTAACGGATAATGAGGACTGGGATATTGAGGAGGCAACGGATCATCTGCTTAGAAAACTAGACACGCTCGACACAGTACATGAAAAGGCACTGAGGAATTTGGAGAAGGCTCAAACGAGGCAGAAGAAGGACTTCGACAATAGGCACCGAACGTTTGAGCATGCGACTGAGACAGACGAAGGGATCGAAGTGGGGGATTATGTGATAGCGAGGACGGCCAAACGTAGCAAGGTCCATTCTCATGCTATCACGGGGGCTTTCAGAGTCGTGGGCATAAAGGCACGAAAGTTGGTCGAGGTCGAAGATAGAGTGGGGCATGTGTGTATCCATACCATCTCAATAACGTGGAGCTTTTGCTGAAGAAAAGCCGGGTGGACGAGGACATGCTGGAACATGGGTTCCTAGGGAATTGAGAAGTAGGGAAGCAATTTGGAGCATAGGGTGAAAGGCCCGCAATTTTGTAGATATTGGGGACCAATAGTCTTAAGGGGGGAAGATTCACAGCTGTGGTGTAACGATTACGACTGGTTAAGCCTAACCTCGTTCTCGACAGGATTTCGTTGACCGCGAGTTAGCGAAACGGCGGTGGTTACGTCTTAACGACGCACTGCGTGGCTGTCTGCAAAATGGCGTAATCAT